GGGGGGCGGGACTGGGGTGTAACCAGGGGCTGGGGCAAAGGCCTTCCTTACTTGGTTGTGTGTCTTGACGCTTTTTATCTCGTTCCTGCGACTTGTGCCGCTGGGCTTTCTTCTGCCCGGGTGAGATGGTGGCAGCTTCAGGGGTGAGTGCAGTGGCCACAGCAGGCCACGGACCTTCAGCCTTCGACCTTGCTTTGCTTGCCTTATCAACAACTTGCAGAGCTCTGCTTTTGTTGTCACATTAACTTTGTAGGCTATACTGGCTAGCAGAGCACAGTTTCTGTACTTTGACAAGTGCCTTGTAAATCCCATATGGCATATGGACATGGTTGACGCACGAGAGGGAGAGAGTTATCCAGTCACACCCGAAGCCCACACATAACAGGAGGTGGGACAACAGGTAGGTGACTGTCACATCACAAGCAGCAGCATTTTCTCCTCAAACCTTGCGTAGGGAATCAGAGGAGTTTGGTTGACTTTTTTGGTCATATCAGTTGACTTTTTTGTTGGTCATTTTGGTTGACTTGTTCAGTCGTTTTGATTGACTTGTTTTCATTGCCAGCCTGGAAGTGCTTTTAACAGAAACATAGGTACCACAATAGGATAGGAGAGGCCGTTTCTGTTTATCCCTTTCCCCTGTGGTGGTAGCTGGCTAGACCGCAGTGAGTCCCCATGCACAGAGCCCATTCTCTGACAACTCCTTGGGGATGGGGAGCAGGAGTTGTTGTGGGTTAACCCTGATAGGTGGCTAAGCACCACACGGCTGCCTGCTCCCTCCCCCTGCCTTCCCTGATGGGACAGGGAAAGAGGAAAGGAAGAATAAAACCAAGAAAACTCATCTGTTGAGATAAACATAGTTTAATAAGTAAGGGAGAAGTGGAAGAAGAGAGAAAGAGAACCAAACCAAACAAACGATGTGAAGGCAATCACTCACCACCTCCCATGGGTAGGCCAATGCCCAGCTCAGTTTATAAGGCCAATAGTGATGAAACACAAGGATTTCACCTGCTCCTGGTAGTTACACTGGTGAGATTCAGAGAGCTGTACAAATTACTACCAACTTCATGAGGAACAGGGAAACCTATGGTGAAAAAAACCCATTTTCATCTTTATGGCACTGTGCATTTCAAGACTACATGTTCATGCATTTAGAATCTGAAGTGCAGCTAACCAAGTATTTTTATTCAGAGGATCAGTGGGAGGCTCTGTCTAGTGTCAAAATCCAGTGAATGTTCGAGATGCTTCCCAGCATTCAAAGACCGATTAGAAAAACACCCCATTATCACTACAGTGATGCTATAACCTGAATGCCTGCAACAAGAAATGCTAGTGCTTGGCTGGTAATCACTGTGTCAGTGGTACTTGTGATGTGCCTTGAGATGCACTGAAGAAGCACAGCACAGCTAATGTTCTGCTGTGTCTAGCCCCACAGTTCCTCACCTGCTGTCCTCTGTCCAGCAGGTTGAACAGTCTTGTTGCACCTGGTGTTGCATTTTTGTCATTAGTACCACGAAAGATCCAGGCAATGCAGCCCCATGCTCTCAGTGATATCGCGGAGTCAGTGATGTAACAGAGCCCTCTCAGTAAACACTAGTTAGGTCCAGATCTGTAGTTGTTATCAGTGTCATGTTCTGCTGCAACATCCCCAGGTCAGCATGGCATTTAAACTTTGCAGGGTTGACAAACTGAGCATAAGTGTTGCCTCGTGCAATAGTTTGCATTTCGGACATGTGCCTCCTTTAAAAACACATGCAATTTTTCATTTGATTATGACAGAGTCAGAAGAAAATGGGCTCCCAGCAAAAGCCAGAGACTCTGCATCTGGAAGTCCCTTGGCACAGACACATCCATGCAAGCAGATAAATGTTCTTGCGTGGATCAAGACACTTATGTTATGCTATCCATTCCAGACACATTTTTCCAGTCCTGTCCCCTGAAGGACCAGAGGGGTTCTGCACCACTTGGAAGATTCAGGATTTTTACTAGATATCAACATTCCTTAATTTATTTTGCAGTCTATACCTCATTCCCTTCCTCAAAGACTGACAAAAGCCACAGAGCGAAACCCAGTCTTCCTTCTCTGCTTGTAAAACATGTGATCTCAGGCACTTGCTCCCTCACAGCAATGATCATATGCAAACACTTATGCCAACCTCAAGCATTTCTGGTTAAGCATTACTTTCTTTACAGAGGTAAATGCAAGAGCTGCTTCCTAGCGGTGGAGACACCGTGTCTGTAATGCTAGCAGGCAACCCATGACATTCACCCCGAGGAACCAACTCCAGAAACATTCCTTTAGGGATTGTTTGGATGCCCCAACTCACTCAAGTGAAAACATTGTAAGAGCAAGGATTTCTGAGAGATGAGGCTCCTAGCCCCAGTCAAGCTCACAGGATACGTATCAAGTGCACAGAATGCTGATCCTGTGTCCTGCCTGCAGGAGCACAGGGAGTGTCCTTCCAGGTTATTTTATAAAACCTTAGATCCAGGGATGGACCAGCTGATGGTCCACGCACAATGGTTCTCGTTTGTTCTTGGCATCCACAGCTAGGATTTGCTAAAGTACAGAGGAATGCTGCCTGGTTGATGTCACATCATAAGGGCTGCACAGAGTAACTGCTCCCAGAAAGCAAAATCACTAGTCAAAATACGATCTCTTAGGCTACAACTACTTTTGATAGTTTGTGCCTGAAATCTCTGCATCCTGAAGCCAGTAGATGTCAGCAGAGACTTCCTAGGGACAGACTGTCGCAGGGGGACCAAAGTTTCTACCCTGCTTCCTTCCTGGTTTGGCACAGAGACAAATACCTAGTTATCAACAGCATCTGCTCCCCTGTGCCCGCCAGGCCTGCAGGGAACCAGCACAACTTGTTGCTTGGTGCACTTTACCCTGGCTGAAATCAAGTTGCCACAGCACAGTACCTGCATTCACACATTGCCCCGGTGTCATGAAGGGAATGCAGACACTGCAGTGAGCTCCCAGCAGCAAGAGGGATACTTCAGGGGAAAACATGCCAGCAGGCCGGGATGGGGCTCTGCATTGCTCTGACTTCTTCTGTGGTCTTTCCCCTGTGCTGCTGTTTGCTTGCAGCCTAGTGTGCTGTCCCCTGCACTTGTCCTGCTCTCTAACATGAAGTGCAATAAAATGCCAGTGGAATTCAGCGTGGCCTGTGCATCTGCTCACAATCTGTGGGAACGAGGAAACTTCCTACTAACACTGCTCCAAAATACCAGGGAAGGAGTGGGAAGGAGCTCTCTGAAATTGTAGAGAGGAAACAGAAAAAAAAAAAAGAGCTTTCGAACATCAGACTGCTAGTGCAAACTGGCAGATAAAACTTTCTAAGACTCAATTTAAAGTTTAGAAAGCAGGTATTCTTTATTGCAGTGCCGAATGCACAGGGGATAGCGCTTCCTATTGTGCGCAGTGAATACTGTTGTCAAATTAAATTTATACACAATGGGTATACATATTCAATGTAATTCCAAGAAAACATTAGCATATTCATTACATTTCCAAGAATTCATTTACATATTATAATAAGCTTTTGGGCATGCGTAGTTGTGCCTTCTGGTGGTCCTTATTTTGAGTTAGGGTTGTTTCTTCCTCAGTCTTCATCTTCTTCACCTGTTCTTTGGCTCACTTTTCACGTTAGCAAAACATTCTGATTGCTTAATTGCTCTTTAAAACTAATGATCTCCCTGCTACTACCTGTTTGTCAGACAGTGTCCATATTTATTGCATCCCTGTCTTTGGTCACCATGTTCTCAGGACCACATACATCCTTTCTTATCTTACTAAGTCCTTGAAACCATTTGGGCTGGTTACTAAAATAGCTACATTTCTTCTCTAAAAGAAGACTCTACAGTTTAACCACTTTAAAACTACATAAAATCTGCCTTAGGTATCAAGACCTCTGGGTTACTACTTCTTAAACCTCCCAAGCTTAACACCACAGCATGCAGGCCTCAGCAAGTCTCCTGGCAGGCTCTCCAGAGTTAAAACAAAGCATGAACAGGAGGTATTGGGTGAGCTTGCAAAGCTTCCTGTGGCTGCTCCATGGGCAGCTAAACTGGGATGAATTTAAAAAAAGCACAAGGAAGAACCCCTGTACTAGTTGTGGCTGGGATGGAGTTAATTTTTCTCATAGGGGCTTGTGTGATGCTGTGGTTTAGATGTGACTAATACTGTGAGTGCCCAAGAGGTTGGGAGGGAATACAAGCAGACAGACGACCTGAGCTAACCAAAGATAATACATGCCTTATCATGTCATGCTCAGTACAAAAAAAGGATAGGAGGGGGTTTAGCTGGGTTAGCCGTCTTTTCAGTGACATACTCCCCTATATAGAAAGGAAGCTGGATATTGATTTCTGTTTTTTACAGATGTTGTTATGAAACTGTTTTATTTTGTTTCATTGCTGTATAGGAACTCATGGCATTGTGTTTGAAGGATATAGAAGAGAGAAAAGAGCAAGAAGCTGGTAACAGAAGGAGCGTAGAGCAGGCTGTTAATGATCTGAAGGTAAAGCATGATTTCCTTCTCCACTGGGTGGTCATTTTCCAAGGAGAGACATTAGATATTTTGCTTTCTCTGTAGCTATTCAAAAAACCAGGCAGCTTCAGCTTCTCAGGAAACAGGCATATTCCCTGTATCTATCACAACATATTACTGTCAAAGGGAGAGAAGAGGGAAGGAGTCTCCAAAGCCTGGCCCTCACTCCCTGATCAGCCAAATATCTCTGGAAGAACAACGTTGAAATTTTTGTACAGAGGAATAGCAAATAGCCCCAACTGCATATGTTATTTTGGCTTCACTAATATATGTTGCATTGCACTAGACTTCATTATTGAATAGCCTGACTTCAGAGGTAAGTAAACACAAGAACAACTTTATTGATTTTGTCTTAAGAATGGGAATGTATACTAAGCTCCACCTCATTTACAGAGCATGAAATGGCTTTTGCTCTAAGGAGCATCTTTAATCATCTCTGTTATAGAAATGTCAGGAGGAGCTGGAAGGAGCTCTGTAGAGGTTTGGGACATAGCAGTTTGATGTCACTTCTTTTTGGAGGCTTTCTTTTCCTAGAAGCTCCCTGTCCCTAGCTTGCTTTAAAAGGGGGCAAAGTGTTGCTACCGAAGGACCAGGTCAGCTGCTTGTAGCAGTGAGTACCTGGCTCTGTTACATTCCAGCTGAAAACAGTGTTTTCTGCATAAATAAGCATCTTGGAATCTGCCCTCAAGCACTCAATCCAAGACATCAGCAGGTAAATCCTGGCACCACTCCTTTAAGGCGTAAACACCCATTTCTCAAGAGATGCAGCAAACTAGTAAAATTAACTGAAAAGTAACATTGAAGGCCTGCGGGAGAAACACCTGAAGTGTTTATGATCTGTTGAGTATTGGGGGGAACGCTCTTCTGCTTCATCTGTAGGAACACGCCATTGTGAGCAAAAGGCAGTTGTCAGACAAAGTGACTGAACTCCAGTTGCTACTTCGGGAAGAGGAGAGTCTGGCAAAAAACTTCATTGATGAAAAGACTGACCAAGCCCTGGAAGCATATGATCAGCAGTTGAAGTCCTGTCAAGAAAAGCTTGCAGCCCTGGAGACCTTCTCATGCCGAATCAGGCAAATACAACAGCACAGTGATCCTATTCAGTTGCTGGAGGTGGTATTGTATGGTCTCTTTCTACCTCTTATAGTCCTAGTAAACTGCTGTAGTGATCTCCTTTGTAGATCCTTCTGTACGTAAGCAACATTTTTCTCACTGCCTTTTAATCTTCTTTCTGTTGGTATTTTGGTGAAGCAGTTTTGTTCCTGATTTTTGAGCTGTTAGGTCTTTCTGCTATGGCATTGATTTCAAGTCTGTATGAAATTCATGTTAATTTTAAGCCTACATGGAACAGACTTATATGTACCTCTTAATCCTAAAGACAAATGCTGTATCAGGTCTTTCTTTGTGCAGTGTAGCATGAAGGTCTGAGGAAAGGCAGCCCTCTTGGGAACCTTAGGAGGAAGGCTGAATTACCTAATTTCTTTAATCGCAAGAGATCCTAATTACCCTGAGCAATAGCCATCATTTTATTGGAGGGGGCAATGTTTTTCTTTTTGCCTACAGAACAATGTCAACCTCTTTTTCCTAATGATCTTATTAACCTTCCTTGGGAAGAGTATGTTGTCATGTGCTTACGCCCTCACACAAGCTAAAGGATGCCATCCTCCATGGGAAGGCCTGAGGTGCATTTTTACATCCTTGCAACTTAGCAGACTTGAGAGTTTGCTTTGTTGTGAGTGATACAGCCCTAGCATCCTGCTGTGTGTTCCAGCAACATACCTCCACATGGGAAGCTTCTCTTCATGGTTTTGGAGAGATTTTTTGTGGGAGAGTTTGGATTTTATTCTTTAGTTTGCTCTTAAAACTTAGTGGTTTAATTTTTCTATTGTTGGGGTTTCCCACAAAAGTTTAAACTCATTTCCATCTCGGAGTGTCCTGAAGTCCCCTGTTTTAACCGTGACCGATGGGTTCACCGTATTTGGGGTAGCCCCTGGCTCCACTGGACCTAGTAGACAGACTAATGAGCTGATAGGCATGCCAAACACAGCAAGGTTTGCCTGATACAGCCCATATGTTCACCTAGTGATAGAGCAGCCCTTGCTCTGTGGTGTGTGGGAGCTGGCAGGGAAGAGTCCATTCATATTACTATCTCTACTAATTGTAGAATTTGTCTTTCTGCCCTCAGAAGTACACAGAAATTGAAAAGGAAATGCAGGAGCCCAAACGTGTGTTAGAACAGTGGCATCCAACACCTTTCTCATTTGAACATATACTTAACTATTATAAACACTTTGTGAAAGTTCTTCAGTCCATTCTGCAGAAACCACTAGAAGCCCGGCTTAACGAAGGTACCTGGAAGAATGCGTGAATTTTGCTTTCTCCTGCTCTCCTTTTAAATAAAGTGTGGTCTGTAAGTAAGAGCAGGACTTTTTACCAAATCAGCTGAAGAAAACAGCAGCTTTTCAGCATGGGTAGCATTCCCTAACAGCATTGGGGTAATGTTGCTATAGCAATGGTGATTTAGGAACATAAGAGGTTTATCTTTCTACTCTGAAGATGGCCTTTTGTGCCTTAAAGTTTGTCTGATACTTTTTTCCAGCTCTGTCATTTATTTCAATTCAGCTTATTTCTTCTTGCAGAGCTTATGTTGCCTATACCCCTAGACTGTCACATCTACGCAATGTAGCTGTTCTCTCAGTCACTGTTGGGTATAAGTGCTCTGGCTGAACATTTGGCAGGCATGGAACATTGCGTACCTGTAAAATTTGAGGTACCTGATGATCTTTCTGTCTCAGGCAGTCTGAAAAATTCTCTGTTTTTTGGTACTTTAAAGGTGGGTTAACATGTTCTGCCTAGAGCTCCTTTTGTCTTTGAGCTGGTATTTCATCCTTAAGTGAACTTTGCCGTGATTAAGTTTCCTAGTGGGACACAGAGACACAAAGCTAAATAACCATGGGGAAACCTTGCTGCTTGTTGAGTTACAAGTGAGCAGGGAAATGCCAACCATCACATTTCACCCAGATACCTTTTAATAATCCCTTTCCTGAGAGCTGGCACCAAGAACATTATATCAGGGTGCTGGGGCAAATGGTCAGACCAGATCTGAAATGCCACTGCAGGACGTGTCAGTACTGCGCAGGTGCTCTGCAGTTGTCTTCAGCTGCCTGACTCTGTTCTCACCTGATAGAGGGGTGCTTTTTGAGGAATGGGAGGTGCTTACTTGGGGTTGTCCTCAATTGTGTAGTAACTTGGCAACACTGGGATCCAACATCTCCATTCTATCCAAAAAGCATAAGGGTGTAAGCATACAGAGCGAGTAGCCCTTCCCCAGCAAAAGTAATACAGTTTGTCCCATGAAGTTAGAAAGTGAAGTGTGACAGTCTGACTTTCCCTAGGACATGGGTGGAATTCACACCAAGGAGGCAAAACCCGAATACTCTGTCCAGCAAAATTCCCCATGATGTTTTAACATTTTCTTGAAAGTACAGTCAATATTCTTCCACTGGCAGTCTCCCTAAACTATCCCTTTTCATCTCTGCCCAGATGTTTTCAGTAGCCTTAATGCCACTGCAAAGAAGGAGCCTGGAACAGTGTTGAAAACCATGTCTCCTGTTGATCGGTTGCTTTTCTTAAAACGTAAGTATGGTTGAAAGAAATTAGAAGCACTCTGGACACGTACGGCTCAATCTCTGAAACAGTCAATGAATGTGTGCTGACACTGTCTTGAAATGGTATCTTAAAAGGGTTTTGATGTTTACAGTGTTTGCGAGGAGCCAGTTCTTGGCACTGCCTGAAACTCATTAGCCTTTTCTGTAGCTCGGGTTGGGAAAGAAATGTTACTTTCCATCTGTGAAATCTTGAGCCTGTGTTTTTATTCAGAACTGCCAGTGTGTGAATCGGCTAGTAGCTAATTTAGTTTTTGAAGACTTTCTATTTTCCACATCATTGTAGTCTATGATGATATGTCTATCATGTAATGTGTTAAGGGATCAGTCCACAGGTGATCATTTCCTCTGGTGCTGGGAGGAAAGATGTACAGTGAATAGGTTTCATCTCTCTGATGGGAATGGACATTTCAGGTAGCCTGCAGCAGATGAGGGCTGTAGCTGTTTTTAATCTCAAAGCTGCAACATTCCCTATCACCATGGTACCTGGTGGCAAAGGCCTGTTGGTAAGAGAAGGTCTGTTTCCTGGCCTGGATCTAGCCCAGTGGAGGCCATGACTATGGCCAAGTTGGACACTTGACTTCTGGCTGTTATTCAGCAGGAAGGGGAAGGGAGAAATACTGTGCTGGTAGGGTGTGTTAGATGCTGCCCCTGCACCTATCGGTTGGTGTGTTCTGAGAGAGGTATTTTTCAGTGTTGTCACCTTGTCTTGCTCCTGAGTGAGCACCTGAGTCCAGACACTGCAACTTTTTTGTCCAAGCAGGTTATCTCAACTGGAGATGAGCAAATAGTTGCACTTGAAAGTGCAGCAAGTGTTAAGAAATCAGGGCTGCAACAAGCAAAATCTGTCTTTTCAGCTGTGATGTTGTGGGTCTTTTCCCACTTGTGTCATTCTGTGCTGCAGGATCCAGACTCTGCAGCTGGTCACAGGCCGGTGAAATTGACAAACCTTGGTCATAAATATTTGGACTTAAAGTCACTTAAAATTTTCATCACTTAGGAAAACTGGAAGAATTGCAGTCCTCCAATAATTAGAACTCTAGCTATTTTGCATTATTTTCCTAGTCAAATTCACGTTTATGCTTCCAAACATTAGCACCTGGATGCCCTTTTGTCCTTTTTTTAAAGCAATGGAGGTATTTCCATTTGTTTGAGACTTAGTAGTTACACATTTGATGAAAGTCTGGGTTTCCAGGTAAATTTGACTCACAGACATCCCTGCTTATTTGCACACCTTTTCAAGTGCTTACTAGAAAAAAGCAGTCATTGAAGCCAGGCCTTTTAATCCTCCCTGCTTTAAGTGTCTTTTGGTCTCGGTGTCAGGTACCTGTGTTCTGTACAAAATTAGCATTCTCATTGTTTGCCTGCTGGAAGTGACTGGGAACTACGCCTAACACTAGTCAGTCAAATGTGGAATCCTGTAGCGTGCTGTTTTAACTGCAGGAATGATTTCTGTTTCCTGTCTTTTGTCACCAAATATGTGCAGAGATGTGACTTGGGACCTATTCAGACCACATGAATGCCAATAGTCGCTTTTCTGACTATAGCGGAGATCACAACAATTAAGATATTGCATATGTGAGATGTACCCCTGTAGTGATACGCTTTTGGAACTTTTAACATTGCTTACAGACATAATGCCAAAATTAAAATCATAAAGGCTTTATTTTTGTTTAGAAAATGGTAATGCTTCAGTTAACACTCACTGCATGTACAGTGCTATTTGCTTCTCCATTTTATTGCAGTATACAGGTGCAGATGGCAGGGGACAGAATATTAGCAGTGGGCTCCCCAGCACCCTGACATGCATTTCCCACATCAGCAACTCTCTCTGCATGTCTTTGCCTCAGACAAAGCAATTGCTTCATTTCTGGTACCCAGGTGTGCGCAGTGATCCTACCCAGATGAAGATGACCTGTGATATAAAACAACTGATAATGGTGCATCACTGACTCCTGTATTTTAGTCACAGCTGATGCTAGGGGCCACAGCAGGGCAAAGAGGAGATGTGGCATCCAGCTGTATCTTATAGTCATAATGCATGTGTACAACTTTATTTTCTGAAATATTACAGACAAGTAGAGAGAGTAAGTCTTTGTTGCAATTAACTGTGCAGTGAATGGACCCTCACGCAATGTGAGATGTCGGTTCTCTCTTGTGGCATTGTAACAGGGCACAGTGTGCGTGTTCTCTCACAGCGGGAGACCTTACTTAGCCTTCCCTGGTGGGAGAGGACCAACAGCGAATGCATTGGAGTGGTTTATACATTGCTATGATGGCAGAGGGGGGGAATCCAGCCTGAATGAAAACACCTTCTGGCCTTCAGACTGTGGAATATGCCAGCTGGCCCAGGTTACACATATTTAACTTATGGGAGAGGGTTCTATGTGACTTACATATTTGCCTTTTATTAACCTGCCAGTGAAACTTTAAAGCATCAGTGCATATAAATAGTGCAGACTTTGTTAAAAATATCAGTTTTTTCCTTGCAAAACTGCAGGTTCCAAGACACTGTCAGCTGTGAGCTCCTTTGCAGTTTTTTTTGTAACTTGGACTTTCGAGAGTCACAATAAACATAGTAAGTATGTTTATGGTTTTGACTGCAGATGCGAGATCACCAACGTGGGAATACGACAGCCTTCACCCAAGGCTGAAATTGTCTGATGACCGTCTTGTAGTAAGCTGTAACTGGAGGAGGATATTCTACCCTTGTGGTCCCCAGAGATTTGATAAATTGTGGCAAGTGCTAAGCAGAGATGCATTCCTGTCTGGGAGCCATTACTGGGAGGTTGACCTGCTTCATGCTGGAGCAGGGTGGTGGATTGGCGCAGCCTACCCTTCCATTGGCAGGAAAGGAGACTCTGAAACCTCTCGATTGGGCTGGAATAGAGCATCTTGGTGCCTTAAGAAGTTTGATTTTGAGTACTGGGCATTTCACAAGGGAGAGAGAATCCCAGTCTTGGTGGAAGATGATCCTGATCGCATTGGCATTTTTCTGGATTATGAAGCAGGAATCCTTTCATTCTACAATGTTACTGATGGCATGGCTCATTTGCACACCTTCCGCTGCAAGTTCACAGAACCAGTTTACCCAGCCTTGAGGCTCTGGGAAGGGTCCATTGGAATATGCAAACTAACATAAGGAACAAAGCAAAATAAAGCCACTTTAGCAGTGATCTACATTAATTAATCTCTGTGGTAAGAAAGTTGTAATGATGCTGCTTTTAGAAGGTTAACAGTTACGTTGAAAAAAGCCAACTGTAATTTTTTAATGTAGATGCATTTTTCAATGCGGAAACGTGATCTAACTTTTACAAATGATGTCAGTGTACTACCTAAAGTGCCATATATAATATTTATACTTTTTTAACTTGCAAAATGGAAAAAAATCTGGCTAAAAGAAGCATAATACAACTCAGATTTGAATCTGTATATTGTCATCTTTTCTTATGAACGCCCTCCCCTCATCTGCCCAGAGAGGCTGCAATTCTGTATGCTAAAAGGTTTAGTTTGCTTCTAGCTTCAAGTTCATATATTGCATATTGAAACAGCTGAGAAGATCAGATTTGGATAATAAAAGCAGCAAGTGAATTATGTCATACTTAAGTATCACATTGGAAAAATCAAAGACTAGCATCGGCTGTTGGAAAGGTCCCTTCAAGTAAAACTGAAGTACAAGCTTCTGTAGCTACACTTAATAGCTGCTAGCTGGTCTTGCTTGTGACAAGAGACTCTGAATTGGGCTTCTGAGTGGCCCTGTTGCCACACAGACTGGAAACAGTAATGTAGCACCCCTAACAGAAAATGAAATACTTGGAGGACCCTCAGATGTAGTAAAAACATTAGGTCAGTATGGCACGTGTGCTTAATTTATTTTTGTGTCCTATTTGCAAAGGCTCTTTATGAATTTCTGTATAGGGATAATCTTTTTTCTCTCACTACATTTAATTAAAGTCCTGGAAATCTTTGGAGCCTCTCTTTACAGCAGCTGCTAGGACCAGCCCTGCTGGAGTGAAGAACCACTGCTACTTGGAGTAGGTCACGTAATCTTAGAGCGTTCAAATAATAAAGGTCCTGGAATCATCACTGGTGCTGGCAAAGACAAGGGCTGACCACAGGATGAAACGCAGAAACAATAACTTTTTTTATAAGCTAAATTTATTTTTCAAGTTTGAAATTTAAAAAAAAAAAAAAAATCTTTTAACAATCAAATAAATTTTTAAGGTAAGGCAAGCATACTGGATCAGAACTTATATATGGTCAAGCACATGATTGAAAGAATCTCTGCTTTCCATTTTAAAGATACAAATACAGTTTCCTCAGAATTGCAGAAGGGTAAACGTTTTGCAAGTAAACAGCTCACAGGTACAGAAGCGCCACCACCAAATTCCACATACTTCAACTCATGACCAAGAGGTAGCAAGTTCCAAATAAACGTCACTAATAAATGATTCCACCACAGAAAAATACAGATTAGTTACATCAAAGAGTTCAGCACTAACCCAAGTTAATTGAGGGATGCCTCGTTTGCAGCTGCTGCCATGTGACTCCTTCCTGGACAAGGGAAGAGCACCAGGCTGACAGGAGTGGGATTGCACTTCTTACTTGAAAAGTGAGAAGCTGTGAGGCAAGAGCAGAACACAGAAGATGAGCACTGACCATCATGTTGAAGCCTAGCCAACATGATCTAGTTAGGCAGCCAGTGACAGTTGCCTTGAACACTACTGTCGGTGGAAAAAACCCAACCCAATGTATTTGCTTGTTAATACAGAAAGGAGGCTACTGAATTGGTACCAGCTTGGTTTCCTGGCTGGGAGGTTGCCCCCAGGTACAAATGCAGGTATCCAAATGCACTGCAGAATTGATTTAAGATTTCAGGCCACACTCAGCTCACAACAGACGCTTTTAACATTTTTTTTTTTTGAAGCATAGGTTGGGTTTATTTCCACTTACTCATCTCATATCTGTTTTTTAACCTGTTACTTTATCTGGCTTGCTCTTTTGCCTTTCACTTCACAAAAAGTGCAAAAAGGCTCTTTCTTTAGCTCCTTAAATGGGAGACCTTTCTATGTACCCAATTTGCTTCCATTCTTGGTACTGTCTCTTGAGAACCTAGCTTTCTCAAGGAGCTCATTTTCCCCCGAGTGCAGATTCCTGCAACCCACAGCTCTACCTTTAGAAAAATCCATCCACTTGCATGTTTCGGTTTCTGTTCAGTGTATGTAAACTTTAGCTTATCTGTATTCAATTCCAACTAACATCCTGTTATCACAGGGGTGAGGAAAATTGCATAAAGAGAGAGGAACATCAAAAGATACAGGGTTAGAACAATTCAAAGTGTAGACAAAATTATTGTGATGTACTATATTCTTACTGGAAAAGGGAAGCTAGAAAGCAGTAGACTGTGATCTTAGGTTTGATGAAACTCCAAATTAGTCTAGGTTAAGTGGAATGGAGAAAGGAGAAGCATGGTATTTTCTAGACACGATACTATAATGGTTTCTAATAAAATTACTCTTTGTAATTTATATCCCCTTGCTTCATAAACTACCTGCTAATGAGAACTTGAAAATTCTAACCTGCTTGAAACCTAATTACACCTTTTTATTCTAATCTACCGTGCTGCTGTACTTAAATATGTTGTGCAGTAGCACAGTACTACATCATGAAATATGGAATGAAGTGCTTTGGTTCAGCACTTCACTTTTTTGACATGATTTTCCACTGCTTGCTCAGTGATGGTTTCATCTTCTTCGATATTTTTTATAACCTTCTGGCCCACCAGATCAAAGATGGCTTCTGGGGGAAATCCTTTAGGCTCTCCCACCTTCACTGTCAGCATGTCAAGTGTCAGTACTGCACCTTCAGGGATTGTCACTTTAGCCACAACAGACTTTCCCAGCTACAGAGAAGAAATTATAAAAAAAAAAAAAAAAAAAAAAAGTTTAAGTCAAACATATTCCTAGGCTTAGTATACCAAAAAGGCTAAAAAATATTGTGCAGCTACTTGGGAACAGGTTGTGTAGAACTGCCCTCCCATTATGTCTTACTCCAAATGAAGGCTGAGTTAGCATGGAGACTTTCACTGTAACTCGGCTGCTAGGAACATCCAGATCCTTCCTGAAATTCAGTAATGGCTCACTGGAATTTTTCAGAATGGAGGGAATCTGATTAGACTTAGTATTTTAACTTAGTGTAAAAGCAGCTTGTGTAGTCATAGAGACCTATTACTACTACCAAGTACTTTGTGCTCTAGGCTGTTCAGTTTTGGGCCCCTCACTACATGAAAGGCATTGAGCTGCTGGAGTGTGTCCGAAGAAGAGCAACGAAGGTGGTGAAGGGTCTCAAGCACAAGCCTTACGAGGAGCAGCTGAGGGAACTGAGGTTGTTTAGCTTGGAGAAAAGTAAGCTGCTCTCTACAACTACCTGAAAGGAGGCAAGGTCAGGGTCAGTCTCTTCTCCCAAGTAGCAGGTGATAGGACAAGAGGAAATTGCCTCAAGTTGCACCAGGGGAGGTTTAAGATGGATATTAGGAAAAAATCTTCACCCAAAGGGTTATCAAGCACTGGAATGGGCTGCCCAGGGAAGTGGTTGATTCACCATCCCTGGAGGTATTTAAAAGATGTCTAGACATGGCACTTAAGGATGTGGTTTAGCGTGGGCTCAGCAGTGTCTGGACCGGATCTTGAGGGTCTTTTCCAACCTAAATCATTCTATAATTCTACACAACTTAGTTAACCATTGGATGATACACATAGAACTCCATTATACTCAAAATTGCCAATGTTATGCTTTAGTAAAAATACTTACCAACTGCCAGAAATAGCAGTTTATAGAAAATGACATGTCAACACTAATGTTACAGTGGGCTAAGCATAAACACTGTGGCATTGAGCTGCTGGAGTGTGTCCGAAGAAGAGCAACGAAGGTGGTGAAGGGTCTCAAGCACAAGCCTTACGAGGAGCAGCTGAGGGAACTGAGGTTGTTTAGCTTGGAGAAAAGTAAGCTGCTCTCTACAACTACCTGAAAGGAGGCAAGGTCAGGGTCAGTCTCTTCTCCCAAGTAGCAGGTGATAGGACAAGAGGAAATTGCCTCAAGTTGCACCAGGGGAGGTTTAAGATGGATATTAGGAAAAAATCTTCACCCAAAGGGTTATCAAGCACTGGAATGGGCTGCCCAGGGAAGTGGTTGATTCACCATCCCTGGAGGTATTTAAAAGATGTCTAGACATGGCACTTAAGGATGTGGTTTAGCGTGGGCTCAGCAGTGTCTGGACCGGATCTTGAGGGTCTTTTCCAACCTAAATCATTCTATAATTCTACACAACTTAGTTAACCATTGGATGATACACATAGAACTCCATTATACTCAAAATTGCCAATGTTATGCTTTAGTAAAAATACTTACCAACTGCCAGAAATAGCAGTTTATAGAAAATGACATGTCAACACTAATGTTACAGTGGGCTAAGCATAAACACTGTGCATGCTGCTACTTAACAGCAGACATTTTTGAGTGCAGAGGCAGAAATGCTACCACAATAAACAATTAACAAGCTATTTTTTTTGAATACAGTTATTAGCTATAGGTTATCAGCTACACATGAATCAAAAGCAAAAGTTACCTTTTCATTGCAAGCCATTTCACAGGGCAAGAGCTGTTTGATTGGTGAACCCATCGCTTTTTCCACAGTACGGATGGCTTTCACTAACTCCGCCAGTTCATTTGGCTCCAGGGATGCTTGGTGGTCACTTCCTTTCCATGTTTTGTCCAGAGTCACATGGCGTTCCACTACTTTAGCACCCATAGCAACAGCTGCTACTGAAATGGCTATGCCAGTTTCATGCCCCGAATAGCCAATAGGGATATCAGGAAAAGCTGACTGATACGCCTTGAATAATGACAGAGTACCACAGTAATAATTTCAAAGACAAAGCAAAATTAACAGTGATAATCACAATAAAAACAATGGACAATTGCTGCATCACAAAAAAAAAAAAGTAGTTGGTTATGCTGAGAATTATTTTTTTTTTACATTCAACAAGTCATACTGCATTACTGACCGTCATGTTTTAAGAATCTCACTAGGATTATCAATACTGACAAGGAAAAGAAGGTATGTTCCATTCCACAACTTCTCTTACGTTTTTCCTTTTAATTCAGTTTTACTCCTCAAGATTGTCAAAACCTACATCACTCTAAGTTAACAGTAAGACAGAAGTGCTTTATTTTCATCCAAGAACCCAGTGGTTAAACTTAACCTGTATCCAGAGCAACCCTGTGTTTAAAATCTAAAGCAAACCTTTTAGCCAGACATAGGGACGGTCACCCACTCCTAAAGGCAACTAAATGCAGCTATGTCCCATTCTACTAAGAATAACGTACTATGTATGCATAAAGCTGGGCAAGTGCTTGAACACTGTCCAGCTTGGAAAAATTTTCTTGCATCATTATCACGCATATACAACTAATATCTTCAGCAAAGGATACAAGGACCTAATCCATTTTCTCCATTGCTCTGATATTCACATGAAGTGTTCTTAACAAAAGTTTCCAGTCTAGCCCCATTTAAAATTATGTTTTCATCTCCATATACCTTCTCAATGGTAACAGGCCACACAGTTTTAGTTTGCACTACAAAGTGCAGGGTTAACCTGTTAACCATGTCATATTTTCCTCTAATTGTGATTACTCCAGTAATATCCTTTACTGTATTCCTCAAAGCTGAGTTCTGCTAGAAGAGGATCCAGTGGATATTTTTACTTCAACAATTGCATGAATTGCATGAGAAACATGACACATCTTCTGACTTCCCAGAAGTAAATTCCGGTATACCCAAGATCTGGAAATGTATCTCAATAGAAGCGCATAGCCCTTGTCTGGTGCCCTACCCATGGAACATTCTGGGTTATTCACTGACCAATATAACACGGAGGTTGACATCCTCTGGCTGAAGTGGATATGCACTGGTGCACTGCAGGAAGCAGAAGTTTGGATTGATGGGTTTCACAATCTGATAAACCTGATGCATTGTGTTCATCGACTGCATCCCACTGGAAATCACCATTGGGCGACCTAGCCATTGAAAAACATGCACACGTTTTTTCCTCGGTCTGTAAGAAGGCTATACAAGATTAAATTAAATTATTTACGTAAATGAATTCAGTTAAACTAGACAAAGAAGCTGGGTGAACTTTTTTTTTTTTCCCAAATCTGACGGTGATTTCCTTCTAAAGGTAGTTTAGATTTTTTTCCAAAATCAGTTGAAGGAAAGACCTAATAACTGATCTACTGAGACATGGTGATCCAAGACGGCTCAAAAAAATATGCTTACCTTTCCTTGCAGTCTTTTCCAAATATGGAAAATTGTTTGTATCTCCTGATCCTACTTTGAAAAATGGAACATTCAGCTCATGTAGAAATTCCACAGCCATCTACAAGGAAGAAAAATCACTGCATTTTAACATACCACTTCAACTGGATCAAAGAACATAAACAACCCTTCAAAACAGAAGACGACAAAGTTTAAGTAAGTCAGTCATATAGATATATCTCCTCCCCACATACACTGCTCCTGAAACATTTACTATTCCGAGGGTATTAGTTTCTGACTTCTCTCCAGGTGAAGTATTATTGAGGTGCCTTCTTTTATACTTCTACTACAAAGCCAGATTTTCCACAGGTTTTTTACCGGGATCCCTGTCTCAAAGCAGTCTCTTTCGTCTCTCAGCCATAGCTGGTCAAGGGGGTGTAAATACAGCTGCTTAGTACAGGTGAGCTCTGCTGTTCCTCTAACTTCCAAGACGAGGTTGTGATGCCAAAAAAAGGAAGAAAGCTATGGCCCAACAGAGCGAGCAACTACCTACAGATGGGAACCTGCCTGTTGAAGAAGAAATGTACTGCAGGCATGCAGGCAGTCTTCCTGCTATATACTACAGGTCAGAAATACTAAAACACAGAGTGTTTAAAACTACAGGTAGTTTTCCTGAACAGATCTGTCACTGAAAAAAAATGTATGACTATATTGGGTAAGAACATGAAAAGAAGTGCCCAAAAAGGGAAATCCAAAATGGATTTTCTTCTAGGATAGGTACTAGAAAATAAATGTAAAATATGCGAAAGAAAAGACTATAAACCAGTTTATTCAAATGTTAATTGTACTCTGCCTTCTCCTAAAAATGTGTGTGCTATACTGAATATCATTCAGGAGTCACTGGAGGCTCCATGAAAATCAGTATTGCATCAGTAAGTTGCCTTTCAAAAATTAGTATTTTAAGGAAAAAAAATCTCAAACCTATCACAGGCAAGAAATACTGAAATCCTCCATTCATGCCCAGGGAAACAATTAAATAGTTACCTAACTTTGTCCCCCTTCATCTACCCACAAACACTTCTAATGTCTTCAGCTCATTCCTTGTTGCAGGCAGATATAGTTAGAGCCAGAGAAAGAATGCTAATGATCAGAAGAGAATTACATCTTCTTCAGTCTAATTTTTCTGTCATCGTTGTGATGCAGAATAATTTTCTTGTACTAGGATGCATAACATCTCTTTAATATAGTTTATTTACTAAGATGTGTTGTGAGCGAAGACAATGAACACACTATCTTAAAAAAACATGGATCTAATTTGAAGAGATTGCACTAAATGAAGTATGACAGATAGACCTTGTATGTAATGCCACTCTTTATTAGGTAAATATATCTTGAAAATTGGCAGCTTTTCTGTAGGAGATTCAAAGAACAGGAAGTAATATCAAACAATAGGGATGACATTAAAGGGAGTGGTTCAATGGGATCCTGTTCTTTCTTCAGTACACTCGGGAAAAGAGCAGATAAAGGAGTTACTCATAGCCTTTATATTTACTTCACGCATCACTTCACCGATTTCCTGATAATAGTTAAACACACAATTTAACCTCTTCAACATAGCTGAAGTTCCAGAAATTATGCTGAATTTACAGAAGTTAGCCTTGCAGAAATGCCACCAGAAATCTTAGGAGCTGTGTAATGTAATTAACTGTTCAAAAAAGAAGGCACAACTAGTATCAATAGTGTTAATTAGCTGATGAGCCCACACATCAAGGAGCACAGCTTCTTGAGAAAAAGAGGGATCCCAGAGGTGGAAAGCAATTTTAGCTGCTGCATATGAAAAGTGTTCTGCATTGTACTATATAGTCTTTAGAAGCTGGAGGTTTTAGCATCAAGAGAGTAATTTTTTCCCCTCAACAGCATATTGGTCTTTAAGATCCCAGTTACAGAAGTCCAAGACTACTGGATTTAATTACTATTTTCTTAAAGGAGTAGGTGGTGTTCAGAGGGTCTCCTAGACATGAAGGTAACAATAAGAGAAACATTACAATACCCTCTTTTCACAGATCTGAGTCCATGGTGTTGGGCTATTGCAACACATGCAAAGTGCCTTTTTGTCTGTCAGACACCTGAAGTAATTTTTTATTTGCTGCTAGTAGCAGCAAATACCATAAAAAATTACTTCAGATGTCTGACCATCTTGGCTGGGGCACAGCAATTCAAGGACTGTGGTCAATAGGACAGTAAGTTAACAGAAGCAGTGAGAACAGCCAGTGGACTGAGAAAGACAGCATAAAAAGGTTGAAGGAATTGAAATTGCTTCAGAGAATACAAAGCAGAAAAGAGATGTGATAATGGTGTTCAAATACACAGAGAAGAGATACAAGAAAAGCATGAACTTTTATGTCAGATGAAACAGGACAAAAGATAACAAGAAAGGAGATCAAGTTGATACATCAGGAATTCTCTTGGTATGGAGACTGAGGCACTGAAAGATCACCTTAAAACGTTAAATAAATCCCATCCTTGCCCCATCTTAGATAAGGCTACTTGCAGAAAAACAGGGGCATGGCTGTTCTTGCCTTATGCAAGAGTTGCTACCTTACTTCTGGGGGATCTCTTTCAGTTTGGTGCTCCGTATTTTCTAGGGCACAAAGAAAAGTAAAACAATCTGTAAACTCTGATCTGTATTGAGGTTTAGCTGGTGTCTGATCTTTCCAGTTTACATATTTCAGTTCTACATTGCATTTGTTAATACTGTAACTAAACATCACTTTAAGGTAGGCAACACGCAAGAGATAAAGTATACATCTTTCAAGGGGGAACAGCAGCAGATAGCTTCATGAAGTTGGTGACTGGCTGTTTAAAGACCACCGCTGACAAAACTCCATAAATGCTTCAGGAGTAAGAGGGCAACGTGGAGACCCCTTCTATGACATTAGTAAAAGAGAAAGGAATATAAGCATTTCTGCCACTTAGAACTGGAGTCTAGTAAGCAGCAGGAAAAAAAAAAAAAAAAAGAGGGAAATAATAGGGATTGATTTGAGACATTAATCTAGTTTAAATACAGAGGTGAGTTTGAAATTCTTGGAGTCAGTATAACAGACAACACCGGATAGCGGTCAGATTGCAGTCTTGTTCTAAACTCTCAAAGCCTTGACTGTTTACAGAGTTCAACTGAGGCCTTGCCTCTAATTAAAGATTTACTATGCATAGATACCTCAGCATACCTGACAGTTCCTCCAAAATTTTCAGCTATCTACTCAACCATTGCGGAGACACAAGTGAACTGGCAGTTCACTAAATTGTACTAAATCTTTCCTCATTTAGAAATTCAAGGTCCACACATATTTCGTATTCTTTTTATGTAATAACTATTGTGCCAATAACCAATAGATCAAACAACTGGACTCTGCTTGTCATTTCAGTATGGCTCACATACCTCATCCATGCCGGAAGCTGTGAAGAAAATGCCAATCTCCTCTGCATATTTCTTTAGCTCTCTGTATTGGTCATGACTAAACTCCAAGTGACGCTTGTGCTCCCCATAGGTCTTTCCCCAGGAGTGTTTAGAGGTATAAGGCCTTTCTAAGGCTTTCTTGTTGAATTTGTACTCCAGTTCACTCTTCTGGAATTTAGCACAGTCTGCTCCGCAGTCCTGCAAAACAAACTGGTGCACACTGAGTGGAAGTGCAAGTGAAACTGCACTAGTGCTAAGTCCGAAGACAGGATTTCTGTAACAAATCTGATCACTTGCAGTGGAATTTTCACATCATCATCATCATCGTAGCAATCACAGGAATGGCACGGACACAGAATGACAGAGGACCTACACACACAAGCCCTTTTGTTTCAGGATGCTTATGCACTCAGAGCAGCAGTCTAGAAAGAAATCATACTAAAACTACAAAACCAAACTGCCTTCTGCTATGCATGCCACTTATTTGAAGAGTTTACTTCTGTGGTGTTTTCCAAGCTCAGCTGTCACATGATAATTTTACATGAAAACAAGTGACAGGATTCTGTAGAACAAGGAGTATGAACCTGACATTTGTTTGAGGTGACGCAGACAGCAAAGTTAAAGTCTCACTACGCTGTTTTGCACTTAAACCACAGTCATGGCTCTGAACGCCTTATGCCCCGAGCTTTCCTCAAGTGATGATATGCCCTTTTCTAACGTATATGTATCTAACACGCATAATACCAAATGTTAGAACAGCTTAGCTGTTTTTACCCGAGGACAGACTACCACCTCAAAAAACACGAATGCAATCAAGTCAAGTAAGAGGTTCTGCAGCTAACTGCCCCTTCCCACGTCCCCGATAGCTTACGGCACAAGCAAAGGGCTGCCGTGAGCCCTCGCAGACCGCACGGCCCGCCGGTGCCCGCACACGCCTGTGTCCCGAGACGGGCAGGGGCTCCCTGACACCATGTGCCCGCGGGCTGTGAGCCACAGACTGGTGGCTACACATCAAACACCCGCGCTGCCGGCCCTCACCACCGTCTCCTTGCCGCTACGTTATTCCTAAATTTCCTCCTGGAAATGGCCCCACTCCTCCTCCCACGCGGTGCCACCGCCCAGGAGACGATGCTCGCCGACCGGAGCGTCCCCTGCGGGGAAGGCGTGAGGCTTCACGCCTTCTCCCGGCTTTCCCGGGCCACCGCCGCTGCCCTGGGGCCCTCGCTGCCTGCCTCGGCGTGGCGGAGCGGGCCTGCCCTCCCGGCGGCGCAGGAAGCGCTGAGGGAGAGGGGGCGGCCCCGCCCGCCGCGCCGCACCGCACCGCACCTTGGCCATGCGGATCATGCGCTTGGCGATGGCCAGGTCGCCCTGGTGATTCTGCCCGATCTCGGCGATGATGAAGCACGGCTGCTCGCCGCCGATGCGGCGCCCGGGGCACAGCTCAAACTCCCGCGACATGATGGCTTCCCCGCCGCCGCCCGACTGCGCCGCCGCTCCTCAGCTCCGGCCGCGCCCTCGCGGCGGGCGGCCAATCCGCGCGGCGGCGGGCGGGGCCGGGACACGCCCCTTCCCCGCTGGGCTCCTCCCGGGAGCTGGGCGGGACTGCCGCGCTCCCGCCGGCCGGGCCGCCAGGTGGCGCTGTGGACGCGGGCGGAGTCAGGGAGCGCCCTGGGCCCGTGGCAGACGCCCAGAGAGCTCGGGGCGCGTCCGGCGTCTGGCAGGAGCGAGTCCGGCACCTCTGGGGTTCGGCGGCGGCACCCGGTAGGGTGGCTGAGGGTGCCGCGGTGGCGGAGGTTTCTAGCGCGGCGCTGGTGACACGCAGCCGCCCCCTGCTCCCGCCCCCGCCCTTGCCGGTGCTCCGCTGCGGCGACCCCGGGGCAGCGAGGTGGGGCCCGCGGGAGGGTCCTCGGTCCCGAAGCCCCTGCACGAACTCCGCCAGCCTCGCCAAAGCAGCGTTTTCTGTGGCGGCAGATTTTCCCGGGAAACACGAACCAGCTGTGGGTGTCGTACCCCAGAGGGCCCGAGTAATCATTGATACAGAGGGAATTTACAGGAAGGGCTTGGTCTAGGAAAAATTTTCATTGCCAGGCACACCCAAATGAGTTATAAATCGCCCAGCAGCGTGTGTGGGTCAAGGTACGGGCGGCGTACCTTATAGCCCAGGCACGCCTCGCATCTGCCAGGTCTCGGCACAGCCCCGCGCAGCTCCGCGCGGGAGTAGAGCTGTGTGCCAGAACACCCGTTTTCCATTAATTTAATAGCTTCAAATAGATTGGCAGAAACGAGCTAGACATTACACCTGGCCACATGGTTGCAAAAATTCCTGATAATTACTCAGTATATGCTTCCAGCTTCATGCTTTTTACAACTAGATGAGTTTCTTGTTTTGTGACATGCCAAAAAAGCCAGGTTGTTTTCCTGAAGGGCAGTACGTAACGTGGTCTGGATTTGCATAGGTTACTGTGCTGGATATCGTTAAATGGAAGTGACCCTAGCAAAGGCTGTTTAATACATTTACCCCTAAATTAATTACAAATTCTTCATCTATCTGCTTATTGTCTTCTATCCTTACACAGAACTACACCTTGTGGAAACTAGAGTTTCTGTTCAGTGAAAAATTTAAAGGCTTTACACATTTTCAAGGAGGTGCACAGAAAAAAATGGTTTGAATTTTCAGTGTTGTAGCTGACTGCATTCTTATTTTGCCTTAAAATATATCAATAAGCAAAGTAAGACTATTTGTAAGACAAAAATAATTTAAAAGTGTAAAATATAAGAGTTCTAACAACAATCAAATGGAGTATGTGGGGAAAAAAGTTATAATTCCTTCTTCCTTGAAGCAAAATTGACTCAAAATAGGATGTGTTGCTGTGGTTGCAACTAAACACCATTGTATGACAGAAAAAGATTGTAACAACAATGTTAAGTAACGCTACACACATCTCTCTTCTTGCCACTCAAAACCTTTGATTTCCTCATTAACTACCTGGAACTTAGATGTGACACTTTGCCCAAGATTGCAGTTAGCTTAGAATCATAGAATCATAGAATTGTCCAGGCTGGAAGGGACCTCCAAAGGTCATCTAGTCCGACCTCCCCACACTCAGCAGGGACACCCCCAACTAGACCAGGTTGCCCAGGGCCTCATCGAGCCTCACCTTGAATATCTCCAGGGACGGGGCCTCAACCACCTCCCTGGGCAACCTGTTCCAGTGCTCCACCAGCTTAAAGCCATTGCCCTCGTCCTATCACTACAGGCCTTTCTAAACAGGTTCTCCCCAGCCTTCCTGTAGGCTCCCTTCAGGTACTGGAAGGCTGCTATTAGGTCTCCCCGGAGCCTCCTCTTCTCCAGGCTGAACAACCCCAGCTCCCTCAGCCTGTTCTTGTACCAGAGGTGCTCCATCCCCCTGATCATCCTTGTGGCCCTCCTCTGGACCTGCTCCACCAGGTCCATATCTTTCCTATATTGAGGGCTCCAGACCTGCACACAATACTCCAGGTGAGGTCTCACCAGAGCAGAGTAAAGTGGAAGAATCACCTCTCTGGACCTGCTAGCAATGCATCTTTTGATGCAGCCCAGGATGTGATTGGCCTTCTGGGCTGCAACTGCACACTGCCTGCTCATGTCCAGCTTCTCGTCCACCAGCACCCCCAAGTCCCTTTCTTCATGGATGCTTTCTAATACCTCACCCCCTAGCCTGTACTGATGGCGAGGATTGTTCCAGCCCAGGTGCAGAACCTTGCACTTGTTGAACCTCATGAGTTCATGAACCTGGGCCCACCTCTCCAGCCTGTTCAGGTCCTTCTGGATGACATCCCATCCCTCTGGTGTATTGACAACACCACACAGCTTGGTGTAGTCTGCAAACTTGCTGATGGTGCCTTTAATCCCCCTGTCTATATCATTGATAAAAATGTTAAACAGTATCGGTCCCAGCATGGACCCTTGAGGGACACCACTTGTGACTGGTCTCCATCTGGACTTTGAGCCATTGAGTACTACCCTCTGGATGCAACCATCCAGCCAGTTCCTTATTCACTGAACAGTCCACACATCAAATCCATACCCGTCCAACTTGGCAATCAGGATGTTGTGGGGGACTGTGTCAAAGGCCTTGCAGAAGCCCAGAGAGATCACATCCATAGGTCATCCCTTATCTGCTGACCTAGTCACTTTATCATAGAAGGCCACTAGGTTCGTCAGGCAGGACCTGCCCCTAGTAAAGCCATGTTGGGTGTCCTGGATCACCTCCCTGTCCTTCATGTGCCCAAGCATGGCATCTAGGAGGATCTGTTCCATGATCTTCCCAGGCACAGAGGTGAGGCTGACTGGTCAGTAGTTCCCAGGGTCCTCCTTTCTACCCTTTTTAAAAATGGGTGTGATGTTTCCCTTCTTCCAGTCCGCAGGGACTTCACCTGACTGCCATGATTTTTCAAATATCATGGAAAGTGGTTTGACAAGTACGTCAGCTAGTTCCTTCAGGACTCTGGGATGTATCTCATCAGGTCCCATGGACTTGTATATCTTCAGGCTCATGAGTTGATCACATACCTTGTCTTCACTTACAGTGGGAGGGACTTTGTCACCTTGGTCTCCAACTTGTGTGCCATCAACATGAGAGCTAGGAGGAAAGGGGTTGCCAGTGAAGACTGAGGCAAAAAAGTTGTTGAGAACTTCCGCCTTCTCCTCATCTGTTGATACAAGTTCCCCACTGTTGCTCATCAGGGGGGGTATGTTTTCTTTAACCTTCCTTCTCTGGTTAATGTACCTGTAGAAACCTCTCTTGTTTTTCTTTATATCCCTTGCCAAGTTCAGTTCTAGCTGTGCCTTGGCCTTCCTGACTTCATCCCTACACATCTTGGCAGCATCCCTATACTCTTCCCAGGATGCCTGTCCCTTCTTCCATTTCCTGTGTAGCCCCATCTTGCCCCTTAGTTTGACCAGCAGGTCACGGCTCAACCATGGTGGTCTCTTGCCCTCCTTGCCCATTTTCCTACATGTGGGGATTGAGATCTTTTGCACTCTATAGAGAGCATCCTTAAAGATCTGCCAACTTTGTTCTGCTCCCTTGTCCCTGAGGGCCATTTCCCACGGAGTCCTATTTACTAACTCCTTGAAGAGCTGGAAGTTTGCTTTCTTAAAATTTAGAGTCCTAACTTTGCTTCTCGTGGGCTTCAAACTCCTTAGGACAGTGAACTGCACTAGGGCATTATTGCTGCAGCCCAGGCTGCCTTCAACTTTGACATCCCTGATGATTTCACTTGCATTTGTGACCAACAAGTCCCACAATGCATCTCCTCGAGTAGGGCTATTAATTTCTTGTCTCAAGAAGTTGTCATCTAGGCACTCTAAGCTTCTTCCAGAGCTTTAATGATAAAGAATATTGTAATGAAAAATTTTAGGTGTGAAATAAAAAGTTGTTGTTAAGCTTGAGGAGCAAGTTTCTGTCTAAATGAAAGCAGGTTCTGCGGGTCAGCCTGTTGACTTTTAAGACTGTAAAAAATAACTAATCATTTATTAAAACATGGCACATTCATTATTGGTTGTGCAAAACAGCTTATGGGTGTAACCTTAATACAGAATGCATAGAAATGCTAACAGTAATTATAATGAGGTTTACCCCAAAAGTTAGCTGGCTGAAAGAGCAGTTCATTGAGAAAGTATTTCTTAATTGTAATATTTGAAGCGAGTCTCTAATGTGCTACGTCTCACTGAATTTTAGTTTACACTGTAATACACTATACTTATGTATGAGACATTTCTGCACCTAAACAGTATGGCTTGCAGCCCAAAGGCCCATCTTGTTCCTCAAAGTTCATTAGGTGCTTTAGGTTCTTCCTACACAAAACCTTCCCACCAGCTTCACAGAACTGACACACCCTTCTTTCTTGGGGCAAGTTCCTTGTTCAACCATCAGGTAAAGAAGCAGGAAATATATGCCTCCAGCACACAAATAATTAACTTCTGGAATAATTTTACAATGGCAGAACATAATTTTGCCTGTCTTAATCTAAAATGACAGAAGATTGTGCCTCTGTGCTTTTTCTTTATTGTGTATTAAAGCAGTAGAATTGCAGGATATGCAGCTATACATGCATAATTCTAATGTAAAGCACAAAAGCAGGAAACAAGTAATAAAAGTACAGAAACTGTGGAACAGTAGAAGAACAATTCCTACTCAGGCAGCTTTATACTACCTACCACTTACTTCCTGATGGGGGTGTGGCCACACCTATTCCAAGGTTGTATTTTGTGAAACTCTGTGGTGTTTAAACCCCTGGTTCTGTTGGAGGTTTGTCTTTTATTTCAGTGGGAGAGCCATCTCTCACTGGGGATTTTATGGGTATATTTGTGCACTATAATGAGAAGTAAACGTTAGAATAGAATAGAATAGAACAGAACAGAATGGAATAGGATAGAAAATTTATAATCGAAATAGAACAGGACAGTACAGTTCCAGCTGAAAGGGATCATCTAGTCCAACTGCCT